TTTAACTATTCAATTCCCGTTATCACTACAGAGAGGAACTTGGACCGGTAATACTGGTCAGACTGATCGCTCTTTTAACAGATTTAAATGCTACAGCCTGATTGCTAACAACTAGTAAAATACTATGGGCATATGGTAGAAAAAGGTAGAACACCTGCAAAACAGTTCTACAGAGTTTAAAGGGTTAAAATACTGAGAATGTCCATAATGGTCTTTTATTTTTGCTCATGACAAATGATGAAGGGGGTGTCAAAATTAGGCTTTGGTTTCTTCTTTCTCATCTCCCACAAAAACCTTCTTCCTCAGACCCAAGCAATTTTCTTTTGCTCCTTGATCCCAACATTTGTCTCTCCCACATCTTTAACATGCACGTGCCTTCTCCAACTCTCCTGTAACACATCTAACAACGCCTGTACTTGATGTCATCCCTCATATTATCTACCATGTTCTAAGTCAAACACTTGTCAAGTCAGTTAGTCCTCCTTTAGTATATCCATTTTTGATGACTGTGTGCAGACTGGAGCTCCCAATGCTCCAATCATGGCTGGAAGACTTTGATTTCTTCTCAGTCCTGCCATTAAGTTGCTACCTGCATTTAAAAACACAGCAGGGTCCTGTCTCTGCAAGCTAACCCCTGGCCTCTGGTTCTTCTCATAGTCCTGTGTTTCAGAGGGCTTAATCACCCTGGCAATGCCCAGCCTCTTCAGCCTGTCCACGAGGTTCATCTTCAGCTGGCCTACGTCTGGAGCGTTACGGGAAGGCTTTAGGCCATACACTTCCTGCAAGAATGTTTCTGCTGGTCGGGAAGCCAAGAAATTTTCTGAGTGATGCACTCGAGGCTCAAAGAGTGGAGGAGAAGGACAAGGCGAACCCAATGGAGAATTTGGTGGCGTAGAAGGAATGCGCAGACTTCGAGGAGGCTGCAGCAAAGGCAGGTTTTCTAATACAGGGCTATCATAAACCTTGGCAGAGATGCCTCGTTCTTGCAGAAGTTTAGCCAGGCTGCTTGTGCTGCTGAAAGTAGTAGTTGAGTCTCTTCTGTTGGTGAGAAATTCTCCAGTACTAAGTCTATAAGGAATAGCTGGAGTGCTCACTACTGGAGTTCCAATACTGCTCCCAGTATTTCCCACTGAAAATGGAGCACCCATGGAGCTGAAATAAAAATGAAACAGAATATGCACACATTAGACATCTTTATACCTGCTCTGCTCTGAATTTGCCTTTTAGTATACAGAAGGCTCAAGAAAAAGTAAACTATTGCTATTATAGGTTACAGTTTCGGCTTTAGTAGACCCAGAAATACTGCACTGCAAAGTACCAATGAATTGACCTTCTGTGGTCACTGTATTAGATAAAATATTAACATAATTTTCCAGTTAGTATGACAGAATAGGGAAAAAAAAATCATAGAATCTTTTTTTTTTTACAATAGGTATATGATACAAGGCATTTGCTACTTAAGAGTTAAAATTTACTTCCTTTAAGCTACCTTAACCTGTTTTAACTCTCACTCTAGAGAATTCCAAGTTTCCCCTTTGTAATTACAACTATTTGTATTAGTAACACCCTACATATTGCCTAGCTGCCTTGGTAAGCTTTTAAAACTGGTGCATGCATCAGAAGCCAGAAAGTAACTGTTTAATCCTATGCAGCAACATTTAAGATGTCAGCAGTCATCATACCTGGGAGTAACTTGAGTGACATCAGATGGGTGAAGGATCCTACAGGTAGTAAAGGTAAATGTGAAATTTGTTGAAGACAGACACTTCCCTGGATTTGAGGCTGCAACGTGAAGAATTTACATCCATTGAGGGTAAAAATAAAGACAGATAAGAACTGGTCAAAATTTAAGACAATGTTATTATCACTGCTAATTTTTTTGTAGTCTTTATTTCTTTATGTAAAGAACAAAGACAGCAAAACCAGCATTGTAACACAATCAAGCATTTTCCCTAGCGGAAAGGAGACTGCAAAACAAACCCAGCAAAAACACTAACCATGTTTCTTACCGGTGGGAGGTACTGCTGCTGAGGTAACAGGGGGCAGGAAAATCCCTATCCCTGGCTTTGCCACCGTACATTGCTTTTCCTCTGGGAAGGACTGTTGTGCTTGAAATGTTATACCTCCTTCACCACCTTCTTCATCATCCTCCTCCAGGTCAGAGATGTGGTGCACAGTATCATCAGGCAGAGGGGTAAAGCCTTTAGTAACAACACCTGGTCTGGGGTCAAGAATGGTGCCTAGGTTGGGTTGAGCAAGCTGCTGCCAGTGAAACAGGGTCTGAGATCCTGGTGTGACAAAAGAGAAGAGACTCAGAGAGCCACTGCCAACTATTGCACTGAGTTACAAGAATTCATGACCAAAACAACTGCAGCCAGCAGGTGCTGACACCCTGATCCTCATGATGTGCTTGGATGGCAATGCCAAGAAGCAGCCTAACACTTAGCTCCCTAAAACAAAGCCAAGTAGAAAGCGATACGGATGAGCTAGTTGGCACAATGCATACCAAATACCACTGCTTCCTCTTACTACACATCATACCTAGCTATACACACACCAACAATGATTTAGTTGGCAAATCTAAAATCATTTTCTGCTGATGACAGGAGGAAAATCATCCTCTTACCTTCAATGGGTTTGACAATTTGCAATTTTTCTGGTAGGAGGACACGGAGATTACCACTGCTGGCAGAGAGATCAGTGAACTCTGAGTTTGTACCCAGGGAAGAGGAGCTTTCAGTTGGTGTACTACAGCCACTGCCCTCTTCTTTCTGCTCAGCCAGCAAATGCATTTTTCGGTCCCACTCCTCCTCAAAGAACTGCTTCTCACTCAGGTAGTTCTGACGACGGAGGGAGAGCCTGTGCAGTGCAGTGACTAAGTCACTGTTTTCAGGGGTTCCTGGCTGGTCAGGATTAGGAGTGTTCCTGTGAGAAACATCAAATAATAATGGACATTAAGACTACTAAATTAACTACTCCCCTATTACACAGCTTAAATAAAGATCCAGCCTGAATTTAGTTCTGAATCAGTTAATTTCAAAAGAAAGTAACAGCCTGTGTTTCCTACTTCAAATTCTTCTCAAAGTGGCTCCTCTGGGCCATCTGTGTGTGGCTCTCCAACTGGTGCACACCAGACTGGAAGGGCTTTGCTGTCATAACAGCACTTGACCGGTTAGATCCAGGGATTGGCAGTGGGGCAGGAAAGGAAGAGGAGCGGCCGCGAATGACATTAACAATCTTGACAGTGTCAAATACTCGTTTCTGTTGACCCCTGCAGAAAAGACAAGCAAACAAATGTGGTTTTCAGAAGTAAAGATGATGTAATAAAGAAAAAGCTCTCAACAAACTTTCAAAAGCCTGCAGAGACCTCACTTAAAAGACGTCCAGAAAAACAGGATTGCCTAAAACACTCATGTTTTCAGGAAAACTACTCTGTTAAATATCAGAATTTCCATTTACTTTCACCTGAAAGACCCAAACGTCTACTGATAACCACTTCAAAATATTCAGAAGCAAGTATTTTATTTATTTCATTTACATATACTTTCAGAAACATATATTTAATTTATTCCTTCTTGCTCAAAGTATGAGATCCAGGAACAGGTCTTCAGCGTTTTGGAAACTGCTCTCGTTTTTTCAGCTATAAATGTCATTTGCTTGGGAATTTTTGTATAAGCATTAAAAAGGATAAAACTAGTGCTGTGTATCAGAGAATTTGAATCAAAAAATCTCATAAATTAAAAATGGAAATAACAGCCCTTTAGCAAATTTCCAACTTCCTCATAGAATCAAATAAGGTCGCAAAGTTGAAAATAGTACCAAATACCACAAACCTCTTTTTATTAAGTTACACAGAAAACTTATAGAGAATATACACATTTATAGATTCCCCAAATCTAAAACCACCTTACTTGATACAAGTCTGTGGAAAAATATCAAAATAGCACATAGAGATCTGAAAACATACTTTTGCTTAGAGAGAACAGATTCATCACCCTGACTCAATTCCCTCCTCATTGTCCCTTCAATTTCTGCTGCAATGGAATCCTAGAGAAGAATGAAAACCACATTAGTCATCTCTGGCAATCAGTTAGGTCATGCATTTCTGATGATGCTTAAAATCTAATCTTGCAAGGACATAAAATTACATCATAAACTACATAAAGGAAAAAGAATACTCTTTGGACTCTTGAAAAGATGCTGTTTCTTATAGAAACACTGCCAAGTTATAAAATTCACACCAACATTGAACAATTAACACTAGCACAACTCAGCACAAGCTGTAGAACATGCCAATTCCCTTATTAAACAGAAATGGCATATAAAAAGGAAAAATTATTGTAATATCGCAATGTAACAAGTGAATGGTTAAGTTCCTAATACATAAAATTCTCCAAAGTGTACACACTGAAGAATTGAAAAAACATTAGATCAGCTCCTTTGCCTACTACAAAACAGTTCCTGCTGCAGCTCCTGTAATGGCCATTGCACCCATACAGCTGTATGCTACTACAGGCCTTCTGTGCCAGTTGGTATATGCCAGGCTAGCAGTATTGGTTACCACGGGAAATGCTCCATGTGACTGGGGGTGGCAGAGACACGCGGCTGAGCTGGCTCTGCTGCGCAGCAGCTTCACTTCTTCTTGGGACTCGTGCAACATCCCCAGACACTCTGCATTCCGGTCTTGCAGCTCATGCAGCTGAAAGAGAAGAGAGGCTATCGGGTGATCTCTTCAAAGAAAAGACAGAATGAAACTGAATTCACTCCTACACTAACTTATATTGACTGACTCAACACTGTAATCTTCCAACGGCATGGCACATGCCAACATCTGGAATGAACAACAGCATCTGTACTGATGCTAATGAGGAAGCATGAAGTCCAAATTAAGATTCCAATGAGGAAAAAGTATGATGAAATCCAAAAGAAAATACATTGAACAACTCTGAAAATACAGTAACTGCTGATGCAAAAGAAGCAAAAAAAAAAGAGAACTGCCTTAAAATCTAATAAGCTAAAATACTGTTGATATAATCATACTAACCCACTATTTTTCTTGTAACCACAAAGAACAGCAAGACCTCCTGACTTGAAACACATTCCTTGCCTTTCATACTCATGTGAACTACAAAAATATTTGTGTATACTTAAATAAAAGTAATTATTATTTTCCTCCAACCATATGACTCCAACCACAATGAAAGATTAGAAGTTCTACATAATTAAAAAGCAGTAGTTTCTATTTTCTCCCCATTTTCTTTCTCCTGTATTCTATTCCAAACATTTACCTAAATGTATATACATAGAAGCTTTAAGTACCTCTGCTGTCAGTTGTCTCTGAGCATCTCTGGAGGCTTGTAAGTGAAGTTTCAGCTCCTCCTTCTCAATCACATGCTGAAAGCACAAAAAAGTGCTTGTCATTTTCTCAGCTGATTTCCCCAAAAGGCTGATCCTCTGCCATGCTTCCCTGAAGCAGCCACTCTCCTCCAGTGTAACCCCCCTGGCCTGCAAGTCAGTTTTCACTTGCCTTAAGCACTAGTGTGCACATACTGCACACCCCTCCACATACACACATGGACACTCTTTATCAGCATTCCCTTACTTCTTTGAGCTTCTGCTGAAGATCGACAATCTGAGACAGGAGGGATGAGATCTCTTCCTGGTAGTGAACCAACTCCTCACTCTTCTGTGACAACTCCTCTGTTATCCTGGTAATCTGAGCATTTGTTTGCCCTACAACACATAAAAGGAACTTAATAGAGACCTCCCAACACATGACAAAGAAACCAAACCAAATCCAAAACCCAGAAAAGATCTGAGAAAGTCAACAACCACCTACAAAACAACCAATACTCTTAGGAAATCAATTCATAAGAGTAGGTGCCTTAGAACATCCGTAAGGAAAAGATTAACAGTGGAGGAGAAGAAAGAGTTAACTTTCAATGCAGGTGTAACATACTAAGAGCTCATAGTAAGAGAGGCGCTGGCTCAAATGTCTCTACACAAACACAGCTAGTATGGGCAATAAACAAAAGGAACTAGAGACATGCATGCACCTGTGTAGATATGACATTGTGGGTATCATGGAGATGTGGTGGGATGGCTCCTACAACTGGAGCGTGGGAATACAAGGGTTTAGGCTTTACAGCAAAGACAGGCTGGGGAGACGAGGAGGAGAAGTAGCCCTATATGTCAATGAACAACTGGAAAGTGTGGAGCTCAGCCTAGGGATGGTTGAGGAATTAGTCGAGAGTCTGTGGGTCAAGATTAAGGGCAGGGTTGGAGCAGGGAATGTTATAGTGGGGGTCTGCTACAGACCACCTGATCAGGAGGAGGGTGTGGATGAAGGCCTCTATAGCCAGATGCAATTAGCCTCAAGCTTGCAAACCCTGGTACTCTAGGACTGTGCTTTGTTTCAGAATACTTAACATGCATTTATATGAGTAGCTGCAATTCTTTGCAAATAAGCAGTCCCTAAAGCAAACAATGTTCTAGACAAATTAAAGCACTTGCTAATTTAAATGCTTTGGTTCATAAGATATATATTTTTAAAATAATGTGTTCATATATTTAAGACTCTATATTCTGATACATTTCAGTGTCAAGTGTACTGAATACTTTATACAAGAAGTATACTTTGTTGAATTTCTGGTGTCTGTAATGGGCTTCAGTTTAGGAAGTTTATGCACATTAGATTTCTCTCTCTAAATGCAATACACATACCTGAGTTTGAATGCCAGAGTAAAACTTGATGAAATACAGAAACAATCTTGCACTTGGGTAAAGTGCAGGACTTGAATAATTGGCATAAATTACTGAAGCTCATTTTGTGAGTCAGGGTCGACTAAGAAGATGTAGGCACTAGATATTTCAAACACCATTTTGCCATTGTGAGATACAGCCTGGATACTCACGCAGTTCTTTGACACAGTCATTGACCAGCTGCTGCTCCTTCTCTTCATATGTAATGGTTTCTGTCTTCAGATGGCAAGCCTTCAAGAAAATTATTGCTTATCAATAACAACTGCAGTTTATTTAAACATTAACGCTATAAATTTTTTTTTCTAAAATTCTTGCAACTGAAGAGTCTCCCTCTATTTATCTCTGTAATTTCTATGCATCTGGTCATACTTCCTAACTGTTTTTCCACCATAACCCATTGTAGAGGTCTTTCAAGTGAAAGACACACAGATACATGAATAAAACCTGATCTCTTGGCTCTGATAAAAAATTGTTGCAACAATATGTAACTTGGTGGAGACAGTAATCAGAAATAAGCAACTGAATTTGCTTCAAAACTTCTTAAGGTAAAAAAAAAATCTTGAAATCTGAATGATGTTAGTCAAATCTTTTACGGCACTGAAAAGCTCTCAGTAGCACAGCTTTTCTCCATATTCCCCACCTAGTCTATTTATAAACTAAATGTTCTGGGCCAGAGACCAAGTATCCCACCAAATCTAAACAACCTCACGTGTTCTAGATTGCCACTTCCGTTCTGATTGTGAGGATGAGAATATTAACCTTATCACAGTCAGGTCTCCTATATTCAGGACTGCTTGCTAGTAAGTGACTCACACCATAAAACTTAGTAAGTGGTTTTAAAGATTATCCAAGCAAACAGCAGTACAGCTACACAAGTGTAGGCAAACACACTTCTTTACACATGGAAATAAATAAAAAAGCAAATATAGGCTCACTATGACAGGCCATTTCAAGCCAGTGAAGGTGATGGTGTATCACAGAATGATAGCACACTCTTTTCAACTCCTTAATTTCACACTAAGGTAGACTAAATGAATCCCTGCCTCATCTGTAAACTAGTGCAACCATATACAGGGTTAGGAACATAATAAAAGCAATCTGATTTTCTCTTTCTTGTGCTACAGCACTACTGAACTATCCATTTGGTCTTAGGGAGCTTTAGGAAGAATGTGCATCTCAGGCTGAATATTTTGGAGACAAAACAAGGGGACAAGTATATTTTGTTGGCATTAGTCTCTGTTGTACTGCTGTAACAAGCTTACATTGGGAAAGGCTTACATTTAAAAAAATCAAAACACCACATGCACACTAAATAAAAAGAAATCCTTGGAAACAACACCTCCTTTTCTTAAAAACAACAAAATAATCCACTTTTAACAACTCACCTATTTCACAAGTTCCACTCTTCACTAACAAAGAAAAGACACTGCATCTGTAGATACCAATTCTTGGAACATTTCCCGTTGGTTCCATGACTTTTACAGCCAATATTCTGTCTGCCTATTTAGTCTCTATCCTTCTAATGGCACAGTGCTCGTATTCATTTTTTATACACAAGAGAGACCAATTAAAATACAGAAACTAATCACACAGTCAAAACTAAGTGTGTTTTTAAATGAATTTGAGTAGCTTATTAACCCTGAATGTTAAATATAGTCGACAAAAATGTAATGGCAACAGAATAGAACCCCCAAAATGCTACTACTAATTACAGTCAGATTTATATCAAAACAGTTCACATGAGCTTAAGAGCCTGGATGGGTCCAAGTACATTTGCCAGGTCCTTACGTATATTCTCATATTGTTTCACATATCATAAAGGCACAGAGAAAGGCCTACTAGAGGACTCTGGAGATAATGAGTAGTGCAAGAAACAGAAGGATGTGGGGAGTAGAGGAAAAGTGCTTGGTGATGATTTGTGTACAGTGATACAAAATAGCCATACACTTAACAGAAACCCTGATGCTGTATTTGAACCACCCTGATTTGTTTCATATCCAACCTATGTGGTATACACTGTGAGACAGATGTACCTTTGACCGGAGAGCAAGGTTCTCCTCTTCCAGCTCTCTGAGTTTGTCTTGCAAGACATCCAGCTGCAACAGCCCGTGTGATACATTGAAAGAGTCATTGAAACGAAGTGGTGTGGAACAGCTGGAATCTGTCTCGCTCTCCTCAGAAGCAATGGAAACAATACGCAGCAAGTCGTCCTTTTTTGACAGTTCATGCTGCAGCTGGTTAGCCTATGGCAAAGGGAGATCACCACCTCATGAAACATACTTTAGATATACAATATTACAGTGCATTATTTATGCAGCTTCTTGGAACATCACTGCACCAGTCTAAAGTGAGATTAAAGAATAGCTCACATCTCTATTTATTTTACAGAAAGTTCACAAAAGTCATAATTTTACCCCTGCAACAAAGGCTGAAAATTCAAGGTAACACAAGAACAACAACAGAACCTACTTTTTTTAACAGTTTACTTCAAAATAGTTTTCCAGCTGCTTTGATACATGCTTTTATTTTAACATTAATTATCATTCTGATTATGACCATTATTCTGAACTGTTGAATTCCTGGAGAAAAGGACTTAGAGACAACTATCTATATGTATTGACTGGTGCCCTCCAGTCTGCACAGCAAATGAACCATAGGACAATTAAAAACAATAGAACAGACAGATCTCATTTAGATAAATTCTACTTTGCATATCTAAATTTTTGTATGAACGCAAAAGTTTGTGTCCTACAGGTGATTATGAGTATGTGTGCATTACCAACACACTGTTTTATACAAGCAGCTGAATCCATTTCAGTCTAACTCAGACTACATCTGTTGACCACAGAGTTATTTGTCAGCTATTTAATTTCTTTTTTGTGAATGAAAAACAAAGAAAAGATTAGATCAACAATTTGTGTTTACAGCAAGAGATGGAGTAAAGATCTTGATCAGAGTTCACTTTGCGTTACATTTTATTTACTCACTTGTTTATTCTCAGTGTAAACACCCCATAAAACCACCTCATTTTCTGGCTGTTTCCTCACCTGTGAAGTTGTTACGTAGCAGGTCATGTCAGATACCAACCTCTTATTTTGACTTATATTATTAGATTCTCAATTTAATGGCAAGAAATCAGACTGATGGTCTGATATACCCTAATGATATCTAACATTCTCATAATTTCTCAGTAATTACACCATGCAGTCTTCACAGGCAATTCCTGAACTGAGAAAGGTGATTGAACAATGGTGATTAGGAGAATGACATCTAAGCATAATTCTGTAGTTTGAGCACACTAATCACCTGCTTTCCAATAAATTATATATTTCTATTAATCCTCTTACTGCCATCATAAATAGAAAAGAGAGAGAAAAAAAGGAAAACAAGAACTAATAAAGGAAAAAAGAAAAGAGATCACTTACTCTGTCTAGAGTTTGTCCTAACTGTTCTTCCAATGCTTCATTCTGCTCTGTCAACAGATGGTTTCGCTTAAGAAGTGCTTGTCCAATTCGAGCTGCCAGTTCCAGGTCCCGATCTTTCTGTTCACAAAATGAAAACAAATGTCTCCTTTTGACCATGTCAGGTTTAAATTTGGAGTAGCTTTAGATTTTCCTAGCTATTGCTCAATACATCACCACTCTGAGATCCCTCTTCATTCTCAAATGGATGAACATTGCTAGAAAAATGATCATCATTTGGATGCAGAACCTGTCCATAACTGTGCTCCTTGATACAGCATATTCTCTTCCACAGCCATTTGCAGTAACAGGAGGAGGAGAAAGCACCAAACCTGGGGATAATTTGGGGTTTTTTATTTGCGCAGTACTGGAGAGGTTACATGGGCTCTGTTGAATCATACAAAAAAATCCACATATAGTTAGGTCTTTTAAGTGACAGTTTCTCCAGAACAAACTGCTCACCTTGCACAGTGTTGAGAGGGTAGAAGCAGAGGAGCAACAGGAAATCAGAAGAAATATGTTGCTTTCTTACGCTCACTGACCCCATGGGTGCCCACATTTTTCTTAAATTTTGTTTCTGAGATGGTGCAAGCAAATGGGCACATTACCCATGGGTTTGATAAGCAGCTCTCAAAGATAACAACCAAAATTTCCATTAGCTGAATCCCTTCCTCAAATACATGTCCTCAAATACATTAATGTAGCACTGCAGAGACAAGCATACCTCAGCTAACAGATGTTTGACCATGTCAGCATCACTGTAAATTTTCTGTTCCACATTATCTGTGCCAAGAACTGCAGAGAGACAAACATACTTATTGAAGTAACTGAAATACAAGAAGACTGTGGGAAGGGAGAGAGCTAAACACAGAGGATGTTGTTTATATACAAATACATTACTTGGCTGATGAAACTAGTGGAAGCTATGAAAATGCATCTTGACTTCAACTTCAGAAGTAAAAAACAGTACTCATTTGGGAGACAGATAAGTGAGGTATCTATCATTTACGGCTTTCAGCAATACTAAACTAAAACTCGAGATGCTCACACCCCCTTCAAATTTAGAAAAAGAAGAAAAATTCTTAAGATCAACTTTTTGAATACAGCTAAGCAATTAAATCATCCAGCCAGCTGGGGAGAGAGGGAAGAGTATATTGGAACATATCCAAATACACTTGAAAACACTTTAACCTTGAAACAAAATTCCCACTAGTGTGTGTGACTGCTATACACAGGAAGTATGAAGACCCCAGAGACTAATCATGAAAATGTATTTATTAAGGGCTTGATCATTTTGGAAACAAAAAGACATTGAGATAATGTCTGCATTTTAGATGTAGCAGTAAATCCTATCTTACTAATTGTGTAACTTCACTGTTTGAAAATTTTGTAAAACTATTGAAATCTGAGAAAATGTAGGATTTGAAAAACAGGACTGAGTGAAGAATAAACAAAGCATGAAGAATTTGTGACAACTCTGAACAAAATACAATGCTAAAATGCAAAGCACTGGTCTGTTCTAATTCATGTCCTGAGAAAGAGAAGATGGTAGTAACAAAGCCATCTTAATTACCTTGTGCAAATTTGTGAGATCCACTCAAGGACGAGGAAGGAAGTTCAATAAGAGCTGGAGTGACGGAAAATGAAAGATATGGCAGGGGGAAGAGAACAAAGAGGAGAAAGAATTAAAATGTAAGGAAATGGGTTTTTTTGCCTGCATCCACCGTAACTAAAAAATAAATGCATGTGCCAACACACTTTTTACATTATTAAAAGTTTCTTAGGACTTTTAGAGAACTATTTAAATATGATTTTCTTCAGAAGCAGAATTATACATCTCACTTGCAGGTGATGGATGTTTGTGCCTGTCCAAGTACAACAGAAATTTGCTAGTTTTGCTTTATGGAATCAGGATCATGAAAGTGAAGAAGGTAGCAATATGAATTTAAAAATTATAGATGTATCTGCTTCAACTGTAGATGTAAGTTAACCTGTTTTGAAACTAATTCCGTCATCACTGAACTGCAAAATGAAATGACTATGGATTTGTTCTAAACATTTTCTTCATTCTTATCTTGTTTAAATCTGACACATACTCTGATTAAACAGTGATATTGGTTTTCAGTTTGTTCTGGCTGAGGTCTGCACACTTAGTTATGACACAGTGTCAAGCTGAAGAGCACACTAGCTTTTTTAATGTTATATAATCTATGCCCTTTACATACATAACGTCTCCGATTAACCTTTCAAAGCATTAACACTAAGGCAATGCTAAGCACAAAATCAAGTTGCATTTTAGTACAGAAAGAAACTTGCTTGCAATCTTGAAAGACAGAAGAACAGAAAGAACAATACAGAAGAAAAAGGTTTATGGAACTGTTTCTCTAAGGGCTTAACAGAAGATTAAATCAAACTAATAAATCAAATGCTTTTTAGCAATTAGATCAGTAGGCATAAAAACCCAACATGTGCTGTTTAAGTATTTAGGAGCTTTGAATTTATAGCACTGCCATCTACTAACTGAATTTGTAAGCAGGGGAAAAATAGAAACTTCACAAAATTTAAAGTATGTAACCATCAGCATGACATGCACTCACTGTGCCACCTGGTTGCTGATTTTGGTTGCTAAGAGAGGACTCCTAACTCATCTGACTTACTAGTATGTGGAAAATTCACTGCATGTAGATAAGTTACAGTCATTACAGGCAGGATATTATAGCCAGCTCTCCTGTGGTAACTGCTCTTACCAGGTGATTTCACGTTATAAGTTTCTATCCAGTCACATTAATAAAGATTTACACTAATTCCACATAAGCTTAACTTACCTAAGTAGGTAGTCAAGTTCCTAAAATCAAAAGCAAGTATCTTTACTCTGATAAAATCACAGAACTAAGAGCTTTGACAATTAGCTACATAAAAATATTGTTATTTTCTCACAATACAGGATCAAAATTTGTTATAATTCTCTCTTGTGAACACACGCAATTGCAATCACTCACCTTGCCAGGTAAAAGCTGCAAGCAACTCTTCATTTTGGTTAAAATTCTTGTTATGTTGTGCCATGCCCCTTTATTCATAAATAGAAAGTAGTTCTAAAGACAGATCCTTTGTAAGTCAGGGTTTCTTATGCTACCATGGTTGAAGCAGAAAATATTTTTCCACCTCACTGCAAACAGAGCCAGTGGGAACTCAACTGGTCATGTGCTTCTACTAATAGGCAGCAGCAGCCATAAAAAAGGAGGAGCTCAAGTGCAATAACTGTTGTGTTCTTTAATCTTTTTTTTTCTTGACTACAAATTCACTCAAACCACAAATTTAGCATTCTCTCTAGGAAAAAGTTATAAAAATGTTTCCATATGTACACGGGGGGGGGGAGGGGGGGCAGACAGGCACATAACCCCACCCATATTATGTTTCAAGAGTATGACTGTCACATTTATTCCCAATTCCAGAAACAGAAAGAAAGGTACAAATTCCACCTAACAAGCTATTTAGCAGTGATTATAACCAGATCTTGATTTACATCTGTATTTGTCTGGGACCTTTGGAGTACCTCCCTGTAAGTTACTAGCCTCAGAAAAGCCAATATGATGACTACTATATTCAATCTCTGGAAAATTTCTAGGAGAAACTGTATTTATGTTGAATTTGGACAACTCAGCAGTTACAATGTGTTCTTAAATGACAGAATTAGTTTCGCATGTTATGCCTACCAGTTATCTTTTAAGTCGAATTCAGCCACTGTTACAGCTCCTTTGTGAGAATGTCAAGAAAACACCTACAACATCTGCTCGAAAAAAAATTAAAATCTCACAAGCAGGGTACTATTTTCACAGGAGACCTTCTATAGCTGATAAGAACTTCTCTCTGGGTGACACAGGCAGACACCACTTTCTGCAGTGCCTCGACAGCCAAACAATATATGACTGACTTCATGCAAACATTGTTGATAAATCCCCACCCTCCCACTGCAGTCTGAAAATGCAAGCTCATGCTGACTGCAGGTCCTTCTCCCACAGCCCTGTTTCATCACACCGGTGCTGATCAGAGAGCTCCAGCAGAGCTGCATCTCATGTGAAGTTCAGTCCAGCACTGACAGACTCTGACCCCACTTCTCTGTAATTAAAACTTAAGAGGCAAGCACACACCCCACTGACCGCACAACTGCTTACAGTGTACACAATTTTTTGCAGTAAACTACAAACACATTTGCTAGGCTATAAAATCATTTATGCTTGTAATACAGAAACAACTGAGCACTAAAAGTGGATTTCCAATTACTTTCCACAGTGAAAAGAGTTCCAAGCCTGTCAGTTCAACTCATAACAAGACTGCTTTAAATTGTTGACCACTGAATTCTTAGGAGGTAATATTTTAATCATACTCCTCTGCTATGCACCCTAGGTGGACCCTTAAAGAACAAACAACAAAACCTCTGTCAGAGGTGGCAGGTACAAGGAAGGGGTAATAGCCACAGATTGTATATAAATACCAAGTTCACTCTTCTATGTGGTTTGTTGCAATATATGCAATATATTCTCATTCCTTTAAACCAATTAAAATGCATTCTCCTCACATGGAAACACTTGAAACTACAGGCAAGTAAGTGTTCAGATCTTTTGGCAGCCTTCTACACCTTTAATTTTCAATGTATTAATGGTTGGTTCATGTGATTGAAGCTGCCCATTTTCTTCTTTATGATTTGGTAGGTTTAAGAGTAAGTTACTTAGTATTTTCAAAACTGAAAGGCAGTGATAAACACTGATCCAGTACCCACCTATCTCTCTCCAGTGGGAACCACTAACAACATTTCACAAACAGCACTGACACAAAAACATCAGGGCAAACATCATTACAAGAACCACAGCATCATTAACATTCCTGCAACAGAGCTGCTGCATACTCCATACCTCCTGTATTACATCTGTTCCAGCACAATTCTTGGTTCCTGCCTCTTTTTCACTATCACAGGTTTCCACTCTTATTTTGGTGTGAAATCTAATTATCAGGCCGTCATGGGATGTGCTAGGTCAGCCCTTAGAATCGCAGTGCTGGACTACAAGCATTTCCCCTGAACTCACCTTTTTCTTCCACCTGTCCAAAGTTCTCCAGATTTGAACACTTTCTAATACTAACTTTATATCTACATTTTTATCTTCAATATTTGAGAAAAAAAAAGAATAATATTCTAGGCCCAGATAGACTCACTCATGTAACGGAAGGATGACTCCTCATGAGCTGGAGAAGCGATCTCCAGAGGACAGCCATGGCAAGCAGGGCGCTGAATCCAGTCCTGATTTTCGTACAGAGAGTCTACTCGTAACTTGTAATCTGGCAACTGTTCTTCCAGCATGCTCACCAACTTGACCTCAGGAAGGTCCTCATTGGAGGAGACATCTGAAAGTGAGTAAATGTCAATAATAGTGCATTACTAAATATATGTCAAATTTAATAGTATTGCTATAGTAGTATATATTCTATATACTATAAAATACTTTATAAACCTTCAGTAGATTTGAAAAGAATTATTCTGTATTGGACAAATTATCAGAATACTTATTGAATCATTACTTGATTTACACTGTAATATTTGTAAGTTCCTCCTCACCAACTAACCCCACAACTTCCTGGAAAGCTGGTCTAGTCATGTGCCCCTCCGGCTTCTTGGAGGAACAACACAGATATGATCTATGTAATAAGTTTCAATTTCTGTCTTTTCCTCTTCATTGAACTAAACCACAGACCTACATTTTACCAGATACTGCTTTTCTAAAATCTCATTGACTCTATCATAGTTATTACCTTTTCCCTTTCTTAAGGAAATTCACCTTTTTCTTGTTCTTCTGTTTTATGCTTTTGTTTGATAATAACATAGATATAAACAATCTTATAGTAACTACAAAATCAAGTGAATACTGCTTTGAAATCAGGGAACAAATATAAAATTTCATTATCATCCTTATGGAATCATGCTCTGAGAAACATGACACTCAAAATCCTGGAAATGAAGTCTAGCTCTGTGTTTTGGTGTGTGTGTGTCCCTTAATCTCTTCATGATTATTGCCCCTTCCCCCAAAAAAGAAACATTAATTCTAAGTTGGTTAAAATACTGCATATCAAAAGTATACAATGACTATCTTTCCAACATTTTTACCTAGAGATGAAAGCTATTTTCCATATCTTTCAATGGAAAAAATGCCGATGTTGATTACAAACAGTATGTGACAGTGCACGGTGACTTTAGGAGCTAGTTAAATGTTCCTTTGCCATATCAGGTAACCAATATGAAGAATGTGAAATATAAGATTGTCCTCAGGTTAGTGCTTTGCAACACATCAGACACATTTGGGATTTGTAATAGTAATTCTTCAACTTACCAGAGATGCTCTCCAAGCCCTTGTGATCACAACTCATGAGTCCTTCCTTCACAGTTCACTTCTTTGGAAATAGCATGCTGTAGTCAGATTCTGCACCATTCCTTTATTGCTTTGGTAAAAAGATGGCTTTGGTTTAGAGAGGGCCATCAAGATACTCAGACACTCAGAAATCTGGCATCAACTTACTTCTGTACGCTGTAGGATCTATTGTCATCTTAGGACGTGCTTATTTCATCTGGGCCTTTACTGATCAGTAGAAGTAGTTATGGGATGTTTCATGTAAGCTTCACAAGCTCCTCAGCTCAGCCATCACCTAGAAATAAAACAAAGAGAGCACCAAAGTTTAACAGATTTTATTCTTTCAAACAAGGTGGGTAAATTAATGTGACTTTGTCTCTTCCAGTCTGAATTTCCCCTCTGTACTATAATTAACTTATAAAACAGAAAAGGTAAACAAACATTTTAATCCCCAGTTTACACATACATAAAAAATGCAGCATTAAAAATATGTCTTCTCTCTGAAGACATAACATCTCACCTTCAGCATGGACTTTGTCAATTTCCTACCTATCTATGCCATTCTTTCTCTTTCATACAATATTCAGTGTATTCAGGTCATTCACTGAAATGAGGCATTTCCATTTTATGCTAAAGAACAACAGCTCCAATAAACTGAAGTTTTCTTCAGGCTACTACATTTATTTAATATAACGGATTCTAAGGGCAGGATTACAAAATCATCATTCTTAGCATTTCGATTGTTAAAAAGAGTTGTATACCACTGTTTGCTTTAATTTCTCCCCCTTTAGGAGTCTGTTAATTAAAAATTGGACCTATCAGAAATTTACTTTGTGGATCGTGATAAAATCCATGTTTCCGCTTCATCAGGGATATATTTAAACTGAAAAATGAAACCATCATGACTAATTCAGATAACCTATCAGAAGAGTTTAATAAAGTCAAAATTATCCTGCTCCTTTGCCAAGACTGATTATTCACCTTCCATATAGTTAGAGTAGTTCTAGATGACAGAAAAATAGAAGGGAAAAAAGTCTCATTTTCCCTCCTCCTACATTCAGTAAACACAAAATTCTCTTGAAATCTTGTATTCATTTCAAATTTGCTCCTAACAGTTTCCCCAAGACCTCTGACCATCAAGCACAACAATCAGAGGTTTGTCCCACTGTCTGTAGCAACCTCTCATTTGACAAGATCAAAATGGACAGTGCAGGAGATTTTTAAAGCAAGCCTAGGGCCTGCAGTTCATCTGCCCGTAGACTTTGGCAGGAGACCAAAAAACAACTTTCTTCCATTAAAGTCAGCTCATACTTGTGAGCAGTATCTTCTTTCTCTGTCATTTATTTCTTTATACATGTACTCTATTTACCAGTTGTAATTGTCCATATTAGACATTTAATAAAAACAAGAAGACTGAGATTTCAGAAACATTTTCTATCTGAATGTACAGCTGCTTCTAGCACTTGTGATTCCTTTCTAGAGGCTGTTTTTTAAATGGACTGCTGAAAAGCATGAACTACACACACCTCCTGTTCTCTAAAACAACTCAATGCTGCATAAAAAAAAGACATTTAAGAAGGCTGCTGGAGATCCACACATGCATGACTGTATTTTGTAATAAAGAGTCACTGTAGAGCTAGACAAAGTTCAGCAGCATAGAACAGTTTTTTCACAACTCTGAATGTTTTTCCTTTGAGTTTTAAAACTGTAAAAAAGAATGCTACTACTTCTCAGTCTTGGATTTAATCTCTCTTGTAAGTGCAAAGCAGAAACACTATTTGTTGCAGGTCAATCTCAGTTCAGCCAAAGAGCAAAAAAAAAAAAAAAGGAAAAAATCATTTGGCTAGAAGTTTTCTAAAGCACCAGGTCAACACCAAGTCATTGAACTGAACGGGCAAACTCATTTGTAAAACCTTTGAGAAGTTTCCTAGATTAGCAAACACCATAAAAGTTAATGCTCACATTCCTGATGCTTCTCCTGGCTTCGGTTTTATATGCCATGGGGCAACTTCTCTAAAATTCAACCAGCTAACACACTGGGCAGTACCAGCCTGAAACTGACTCCGTGACCCTTTCATGCGGCAGCTATAAAATTACTTATGTGCAGGCTCCTTCTGCATGTTCCAACTATAATTAAATGCATTTAAATGAAACACAAAATTTACAACATGGCTTTAAAATATATGGCCATGCCATAAAAAGGTTGACTAGAAATTAAAATTTTAGATTGTGCACAAAGACATGACCAAAAGAGAAGGCAGAAAACATTCTCAGGTATTATTTTTAATCTTTATTTATAAAGATTATTTCAACTGTCAATTTATTATATTTGTTCTACACTGACCTACTCCTTAGTAGTTTTGTCCCCCTACTCCCGCATATGCCAATTTCCCATTGATGTTTGAGTTTTTTACAAATAGCTTAATTCAACATGGAACAACCAAGGGGAATTCAAACACTGGAGAACACCTCACATGCAGGAGTGGTGCCCTCAGGAGGTTTTCTTCAAGGAAGGCTCAAGAGAGATGGAACTAGCAAACAACATTTTATACACAAACATACATATCTATCTCAATCTGTGTATTTCTGTAGTCTCTACATTAAATTTTACTCCACAATGTGTGTCTCACATTTCAAGTATCATTTAGCTTCAAACAGTGAGCTAAAACCAGTAGTATGTGCAGCACCCTTCCTAGGCCTTTTGTATCTGCCTGACAGAACCCAAGCTGCTCTAAGGCATGCTAGCATGGAAAATGGAAAAGAAACTATATAAAAAAAGGGCAGTGCTGAAGCCCATTCATACAAAAAAAAAATTAAAGTACAGCCAGCAAAAAAAAAAAAAAGAAGGGCTGGAAAAACATCTTAAAAGCATGGCAAGAAATACACATCAATTGTCTACCAAATGGTAAGATATCATAATGTATAGGCTAAAAATAGTAAAACTAAAATAATCAGCACCACATATTCCATTAAACCACTGGTATTTCAACATGGTTTGATCTTAGTAGGAAAGAGACAAAATGAGTTCTGCCATCACATGACGGGAGACTTTACTAAGTTTTCCTTCAATGAGTCAGAAGACCTTAGATTAACTTGCAAAAGCAATGAGTAAAGCCTTAGATATAGATAAAATAGCTATAAAGCATTAACATTTTTTCTTATTTTTGCAACGACTTCCCTGAGCAATTCAAGATGGATGCAGAAAGACAGTCGTGCCATCTCAAATCAGAATATAATCCTGAAGACATTCTACCACTAGAGTAATTCAAAAGTGAATTATGAGAAAGGTGAGATGGTTGCTTCACAACTGGAAAACACAGACAAATAAATGTATGTGTTTATTTCTTTCTGCATAAAAAGTTAAAAACATGTACAAAATATTAGCATCAATACTGACAACATCCAATGTTAAACGTAAGGTCTGCTCGTCTGTTACAATACCAGGATGCAAGACATTAGGCCACAAGTAACTCAAGCAAAATTTTGACAACAAAGAAGATTTTAACTTAATCAAGAGAGAAGACAATGTCTGTCTTCCAAAAGGAAGTTAACTGAATGAGTATATTGTTCTGGGACGGCAGATTTTACTGCTATGTAAATATGCAATTTAAAAACAAGCATCGAGTCATTAATAGTGCTTTTCCATTACCAAAATTAGAATGCTGTCAAGATAGCTAATAACAATTAACATAGTTTGCATTTCAAGGTTAATGAAACAGTTCCATTCTTAGAGCAAGCGTGACCACGCTGAATTGCTGCCGAAACATTCCTGGGACTAGCACTCAGAAAGAGAGTCCAATCCTTCAATACCATCCAGAATGACACGAAATCAAAGAACTGTCTACTGAAAAACAAACCCACGGGAACACAAACTTTGCCTGTCACAATTAACACCTGATGTGTGCCTAACACCTGTTATCTTCAGGCAATACTATACCTACAGAAACCTACTTAGTGCTTGTGTTTCTCTCCTGTAAGGAAAAGAGAAATGCTATAAAAAAGTACGTCAACACAATCCTAGTAACAGTATAATGATCATAAACAAACCTGCAACAGAACTTCAACCATAAATAGTAGAGTACAAGAAAGGAACTGTAAGAAAACAAAACAAAGAGACACCCCCCAAATCTTCTGGATTGTTTTTAATCTGAGGTAGGGTTAAGGCTTCAGAGGGGAAGCAGAACAACACCTCTCAGAGAAGGATGAATAGCAAGGGGATGATGATGCCAGTCACAATGTTCACTCGTCCTGTTTTATCCAGAGTTATGCCAAGAAAGGCTCACTTACTCTCCTTGTCAGTCACTTGGGAGTCCATATACTCCCAAGTGGCATAACTACTTGTTGCACACGTTTGTGTACTTTTTGCTCATGCATACAGGCATACTGTTGAGTACCACAGTTTGATGGTTCAGGTTTATTTAAATTCTACATGTTGGAGGTTGTCTATATCACCCTTAGCGCACAATGTAAAAACAGCAAATGAAGTCTAACTTAATCTGAAACTATGTATGCCACTTACATTAAAGACCCATAAAAAGTTTTATTAACTCCTAATTCTTTTCCATAAAGGCACAATCAAAACATTACTATCTGCATACGTATATTCTTGCAGGTTTTCTTTTTTCAGAAGAAATTACACATACATGTAGCAATATTATAATCACAGGGGAACCAATCTCTTTTTTCAGAGAAAATAAACCCTATCATGAATTGCCTATTTGTTGGTTAGAGTACAAAAATGTAATAAATGCACTTGAGGCAAGTGCTCTGGTGCGATTTCATTATAAAGTTGTAATCACCTTCTTTTAAAACTGAAGCTTGTTCTCTATAAAGTAGCCTTGAATAACATTTAACTGAAATCACTGATGCTTTCAGCTGATGCATGGCTGACTTCACCCAAGGAAGTGGTTCGAGTTCCCTAATATATACCCTAGCCAGGGCTCAGCATTTTAAGTTACAATTCTGTATTTATTAGAATAAACTAGACTGATCTATATGGCTCAGTCACCAGAGTATAGCTAGAAATCAAACCATATAAAGGATGTCTTCTTTTTTT